TTGGAGTCTCACTCTGTCGCCCAGGCTGGAGTGCAGTGGCCGCTCCCGGCCACCACAGCCTCGACCTGCCGGGCTCCAGTGATCCTTCCGCCTCAACCTTCCAAGTAGCCGGAACTACAGGTGCATGCTACCATGCCCAGCTATTTTTTTGATTTATTGTAGAGAACGAGGTCTCCCCCAAGTTGCCCGGGTGGGTCTCGAACCCGAGGACTCAGGCAATCCACGCACCTCAGCCTCCCAAAGTGCTGGGATGACAGGCTGAGCCACCGATCCCAGTCTATCCTGCATTTTTCTTAACCACTGATTGCTTGATGGGTATCTAGGTTGATTCCACATCTTTGTGACTGTGAATTGGGCTGCAGTGAACAGGTGGGTACGGGGTCTTTGTCATATAATGACCTCTGTTCCTTTGGTAGAGACCAAGCAGTGGGATTGCTGGATCAAATGTTAGATCAAACTGAGTGCGGCAGCTCACACCTGTCATCCCAGCACTTTGGGAGGCGGAGGTGAGAGGATTGCCTGAGCCCAGGGATTCGAGACCAGTCTGGGCAACATGGTGAGACCTCGTCTCTACAATAAGTCAAAAAACAAAAAAATTAGCTGGGCGCGGTGGCGCATGCCTGTGGTTCCAGCACTTTGGGAGGTGGAGGCGAGAGGGTTGCCTGAGCCCAGGGGTTCGAGACCAGCCTGGGCAACTTGGCAAGAACTCGTCTCTACAATAAATCATAAAAGTTAACTGGACGTGGTGGCGCGTGCCTGTGGTTCCAGCTACTGGGAAGGCTGAGACAGAAGGCTCTCCTGAGCCCAGCAGGTTGAAGCTGCAGTGGCCGTGAGCCTGCCACTGCACTCCAGCCTGGGGGACAGAGTGAGACTCCAACTCAAAAAGCAAAACAAAACAACAAATGGTAGATCGGCTTTTAGCTGCTTGAGAAATCTCCATTCCATAGCGGTAATGCTCACTTACACCCCACCAACAGTGTACAAGCGTTCCCTTTTCACTGCCTCCACTCCCGGCTAGCAGCTGCCGTGTGACTTTTTTTGGCTAACCTTGATCTCTCGGGCTCTCTGGCCGCCCTCCTGCCCCACCCGGAAGGCATCGGTCTGGCGTCTGTGGTCATCGAGTCCTACCTGAACATCTACTACATCATCATCCTCGCCTGGGCCCTCTTCTACCTGTTCAGCTCCTTCACCTCTGAGCTGCCCTGGACGACCTGCACCAATTCCTGGAACACAAGTACCTGTCGTTTCAGCCCTGGGCTGGGCCCTTCCCCTAGCGGCCGGGCCACGGTGGCCAGATCGTGGTGGCACGTGTGGCAGGACTTGCCTCAAAGCCAAGCCAGGTGGACTCCGGTGCCAGTCCTGCTGGCTGCCCCTCTGTGGGACTTTAGACCGGCCACCAGGAGAACCCGGTGCGGTTGTGAGAAGCCAGTGGGGCTGTGTTATACAACCCCAAGGGGTAATCACCCTTGCTCATTCATACCTTGAACAGACATCTATTGGACACCTGCTGTGTGCTAAACACGGCACCGAGGGCTGGAGGTCGGTTCAAGGCTGAGCCAGAGCTTCCACTGGGTTTTTGGTCTAGTGTGGAAACGGACAAATGAACAAAACAGTGACGGAGTGTGATGGGTGAAAGAAACACCCAGGATGCGTAACAGTGGGAGGGAGAGGTGCCCTCTGAGGCCTGAAGGACGAGTAGGAGACCAGCGTGCGGGCAGCATTCCAAGCTCAGGGCCTCAGTTCCCTGGTCTGTGGAATGGAGAGACAGACAAGGAGGGCTGTCAGAGAGGGCAGGTGGGGAGAGTCTAGCCGTAGGAGCTGCCCACACGGGGCTGAGGGGGTCTGCAGTCTGGATTGCGTCAGAGGCTGGTGGGGTGGCGGGTTCCTTGGGTCCGGGAGCTGTGGGTGCCAGTTGCACTCCCAACACTTGGCAAGGTGACTCCAGAGAAAGCTTTGGAGCTAGGAGTGGGGAACCCCTGGGTGGCAAGGCTGGGGTGGGGAGACTGGGTGTTAGGGCATCTCTCGCCATCTCGTCCGTAACGGATATGGCCGCTCCCTTGTCCCCAACAGACCATTGCATGGACTTTCTGAACCAATCGGGAACCGGCAGAGTGAGCCCGTCTGAGAACTTCACCTCGCCCGTCATGGAATTCTGGGAGTAGGTGCTGGGCCTGGTTGCCACGGGTCGGGGGACCTCGAGGAAATGAGAGTGTCTGAGCTGTGCAAGTTTGGACGTCTGGGGTGCAAAGTCGGATGTGTGAGGTGCAAAGTCGGATGTCTGGGGTGCAAGTTTAAGACTCTCCGTGCATGACTTCCAGCATGCAACCCAAGCAGCCCTGAGGGATGAGGCATGCTCTCACATCCACCTGCACGCGTCCACCGAGACCCACACACCCATTCTCACGCATGTCTGCACCTTTGCATTCACCTCACCCCCACAGGCCACCTCTAACACATACCCACCCACGCGTGTCGGGCAGGGGGCTGGCGCCCGTCTTCACTGCCTTGGGAGAACTGATTGTGCATATCTTTTCCTTCCTCTGATTGGTGATGTCCTGTCGGTAGCTTGAAACCGGCCAAGGTGGGAGTATGCACACCACAGCCGTGGGCCAACCTTGCACTCACACATTCCCCCTCCCATGTGGTGACTTACACCTTCATGGCCAGCCGTGATCACACGTGGCCACCTGTGTTCTCACACCGATGTGCCAATCCCACCAACAGTCTCACATGTGTCTGTCTACACCCTCACATGCATATGTCCTCTCGGTCACCTAAGCCTCACATATGCATGTATTCTTCCATCATCCCACACACATCTATCTTTTCTTTCTATTTTTATTTTAGTTTTTAGTTTTTATTTTTGAGTTGGAGCCTCACTCTGTCGCCCAGGCTGGAGTGCATTGGCCACCGCAGCCTCGACCTTCTGGGCTCAGGCAATCCTTCCACCTCAGCCTTCCAAGTAGCTGGAACTACAGACATGCACCACCAGTGCCCCACTAATTTTTGGATTTATTGTAGAGACGAGGTCTCACCAAATTGCCCAGGCTGGTCTCGAACCCCTGAGCTTAGGCAGTCCTCTCGCCTCGGCCTCCCAAAGTGCTGGGATTGCAGGCTTGAGCCACCGTGCCTGGCTTTATTTTATTTTTTTAATTTTTATTTTAAAGATGTGGGGTACCACTCAGGGTTGGGGATACAAATGGTCATTGTGCAGATAAAGTTTGGGCCTCACTTTGGTCCCCACTTCACCTGGTTTGAGATCTGGTGCCCTTATTGATCTCATATGACCCCTTCCATCCCCTGGCAGTGTCCTGCTGCTGCCAAAACCTTTCTTACAGTATTATGATTAATATTCAGGGTCCGCTTATGAGTGAGAACACGTGGTTCTCCGTTCTTTTTTTCCGTGATCCCTGAGTATTATAGACTCTAAATCAATCCGAGTTGCCGCAAAGTCCATAATTTTGTCCTTCTTTATGGCTGTGTGATATTCCATTATGTATACATGCCACATTTTTTTATCCAGTCCACTTTCAATGGGCAGCATGGTTGGTTTTTTCTTTCTTTCTTTCTCTTTTTTTTTCTTTCTTTATTTCTTTCCTTCCTTCCCTCCTTCCCTCCTTCTTTCCTTCTTTCTTTCCTTCCTTTTTTCCTTCCTTGCTTCCTTATTTATTTATTTGACCTGGGGTCTCACTCTGTTGCCCAGGCTGGAGTGCAGGGGCACAATCACAGCTCACTGCAGCCTCGACCTGCTGGGCTCAGGCAATCCTTCCACCTCAGCCTCCCAAGTAGCTGGGATTACAGGCATGCACCACCGAGCCCGGCTAATTTTTTGCTTTATTGTAGCAACAAGGTATCACTATGTTACCCAGGCTGGTCTCAAACTCCTGGGCTCAGGGATCCTCCCACCTCAGCCTCCCAGAGCGCTGGGATTATAGGCATGAGCCACCGCACCCAGCTCCATCAGCATCTTCAAATACTAACACGCATTCAGCAGCTCCATTTGACAGAGACTCGCCCATCGACCCACAAATACAAACACCCACTCTAAACACTCACTGATACGTTCCTTACCACCCTTCTTTCTGTACGAGAGAAAAATCTGGATGAATGAGAAAGACAGAGGTGCCTGTGGGATGAGGGTCGCGGCCATGGCGTACAGGGGCGTACAGACCCCAGGAGGGAGCACGGGGGAGGTGGGGGAGTGTCCGTGGGGGAACACCTGGCATATGAGACCTGTGGGGTCAGCTTCAAGAATCAGGAAACTTGGTGACAGAGGCAGGTCAGCCCCTTGGCCGCTCACCTGGTTGTTTCTTTTTCCCAATCCATCAGGAGACGGGTTCTGGGCATCACCTCGGGGATCCATGACCTGGGTGCCCTGCGCTGGGAGCTGGCCCTGTGTCTTCTGCTGGCCTGGGTCATCTGTTATTTCTGCATCTGGAAAGGGGTCAAGTCCACCGGCAAGGTGAGCTGCCATGCCTCCAGGAAGCGTCCTGTCGTCCCCAGAGTCCCAGGGACACTTGAGGCCGTTCCTCTGGAGAACTGATTTCTTTCTAGTCTTCCTTTTTTTCTCTTCTTTTTCTTTTCTTTCTTCCTCCCCGCCCCAAGTCAGGATCTCACTCTGCCACCCAGGCTGGAGTGCAGTGGCACAGTCCCAGCCCACCGCAGCCTTCGACTCCTGGGCTCAGGCGATCCTTTCATGCCAGCCTCCCAAATAGCTGGGACTACAGATGCGTGCCACCATACCCAGCTAACTTTTCTGATTTTTTTTTGGTGGTGGTTGTTGTTGGGATGAGGTCTCACTATGTTACCTAGGCTGGTCTCAGACTCCTGGGCTCAAGCAGTTCTCCTGCTCTGACCTCCCGAAGGGCTGGGAGTACAGATGTGAGCCATGATGCCTGTCTGAAACTGCTCTTTCTTGTGGTTAAGAGGGAGATGCATGCTGAGAACAGGGGAAGTCGTGGGAAGGCCGCGTTTAGCTCATACAAGGAAAGCCTTTCTTTTTCAGCATGACCTTAAAAAACCAGTGTACATGCGTAATGTTCAGAGTAGAACAGGAAACATAAAAGCCCCGCCGTTGGGCTCATCGCTGTCCGAGCCGTCAGCGCGATGGCAGGTTGGATCTGCTAATCCCTGTTGCCTTTTGCTTCTAGTTTCTTTCTCGTGGCGCGTATATGTGTCTGTAGCCAGCAGTGTGCCTATTGTGCAATCAGGGTCACACACTCTTAGGCCTGGCTTGTATTTAACAACGTATCAAGACAGTGTTTCCTATGAGTGAGCAAACAGAACTGTCTTTGAGCTGGTGAGTTTCCCATCATCCAGGGAGTCCCAGCCAAGGATCAACGAGAGTGGGCTTGTTACACAGAGAGAGAACTTCCATCTGAGCAGCATTTCCAACCCAGAGACTCTGAGACTGATGCTTCGAACTTGCTTTTTGTTTTTTTCCTTCTCACAATCTTCGCGTAACGTGGGTGCTTTTTAAAGCCAGGGACGACCAAGACACCCACCTCTCTGACTGGCCAGACACGGTTCCTACAGCAGCCATCCCTCCACTGTGTTGCTGTAATAATAACAGTCATCGTGATGACTTAAATGGTCACAGTAGGGCCGGACATGGTGGCTCACGCCTGTCATCCCAGCACTTTGGGAGGTGGAAGCGAGAGGACTGCCTGAGCCCAGGGGTTTGAGACCAGCCTGGGCAACTTGGCAAGACCTCGTCTCGACAGCAAATAAAAAAATTAGCTGGGCGTGGTGGCACATGCCTGTGGTTCCAGTTCCTTGGGAGGCTGAGGTGGAAGGATCGCCTGAACCCAGCAGGTCGAGGCTGCAGTGGCCATGAGCGTACGTACCACTGCGCTCTAGCCTGGGCGACAGAGTGAGACTCCAACTCAAAAAAAAAATCGATCATAGTAATACAATAGCACAGGCAGTGTCGCTGTCACTTCAGATAAAGCGCTAGGCTCGGCTGGGGCAGCATGGAACACCCCAGAACTCTGGCCATTACTGTTTCCCCAATCACAAGCCTGGAAAACGACAGTCTGGTCACCCTCCCCCACGCATCACCAAGGGATGCGGATAGAACAATCAGAACAAGGGATGCAGGGATCCCAGACACGGGACTGACAAATAGTCTTTGCCCTGATTTGATCATCACACACCATCTGCGTGCACGGAAACCTCACTCCGTGTTCCATCAACGCGTGCAGCCCTTCCGTGTCAGCTAAGGAAAAAAAGCAGTCTTGGAAAGGTTATGGGCTGGAAACTCGCACCCTCCCTCCCCCCAGCCCCCCCCCCGATGCGTATCTCACACTCTGTGGGGGAGCCTGGACCCACTGGAACCTGTAAAGGGAGGCGTGGAGACTTTCCTGCGCTCGCCTCTCTCCGCATCTCTGAGATGTGTGTCGGACGCCGGCAGGGAGCCCTGTGGCAGAAGGACCACGGGGTCCCCCCCAAGAGTGACCTGGGCCTCCTCCCGCCAGGTTGTCTACTTCACAGCCACGTTCCCCTACCTGATGTTGATCATCCTGCTGATCCGCGGTGTCACCCTGCCCGGAGCCTACGAGGGCATCATCTATTACCTGAAGCCAGATCTGTTTCGCCTCAGGGACCCCCAGGTGGGTGCTGTGCTGGGGACCGTGTCTCCAGATGCCTCCCACGCCAGACCAGCTCTGTCCCTTTGAAAGCCTCGTACTGCTTTTTTTCCTTGGTTTAAGAGCCGTCGATGGCACTGGAGAAACCAAAAAAGAAACTAGAAATCGCTTGTAATCGCACCCCTCGGGTATAACCTCTGTTAGCATTTTAGGACACTTTGTTCCAACTTTTTTTCCTAGCTGTCGTATGCGTGTGTGTGTTTCAACATGGTTGAGATGATTATATTTCGAGAGACGTGTATCATCTTTCCACTCAAATTATATTGCGAACTTCATTCATGCGATTAGATTCGTTTGTAAATGTCATTTTAACACTTGTGTAATATTTCCTCCGTCTAGCCATCATTCATTCATTCAACAAAAACGTACTGAGGACTTGGTGTCAGGTGCCGGGGACAGTGTATGTCTCTTAGAACTCACATCGTAGCCGGGCTCGGTGGCTCAGCCTGTAATCCCGTGCTTTGGGAGGCTGAGGTGAGTGGATTGCCTGAGCCCGCGGGTTCGAGACCTGCCTGGGCAACTTGGCGAGACCTCATCTCTACAATAGATCAAAAATGA